GCCTCGTGATGAGATGATGTTGGTGAGGATTGATCTTTTGGGACGAAGCCATTTTGGTTGTTGTTGATWAATTGATGGTACATAGTTGAGAAGTCTAGAGTTGATGATCTTGGAGTAAAGTTTGTAGTCGCAGTTGAGTAGAGTGATAGGTCGACGGTTGGTGATGAGGTTGATGTCGCCTTTCTTTTTGTAGATCGTCGTGATGATTCCTTTCTTGAAGCTGGGAGGAATGTAGCCTGTGGAGAGGAAGTTGTTGAAGAGGTTGAGGAGTGGAGTGGCGAGAAGATTGAAGTGTTGTTTGTAGAATGCGATTGTGAGGCCGTCACAACCAGGTGACTTGTGGGAGCTCATTGAGCTGAGTGTTGAAGAGAGTTCCTCGATGGTGATAGGTAGTGATTGTGATTGATTTTTTTTTTTTAATTACAAAGAGCATATACACTCTAGGCTACTTGTTTATTGGTGTTGGTTGTTTACATGGCGAGATATTCAGTGTCGATTATGGAGTTCCATTTGTCCAGGTGTTTGATAGTTGCTTTGGTGAGGAGGGACGATATTTGTTCAGTTGGAGCTGATTGTGATCTGAGTTTAGCAACTTGAAGTTGGAGCTTGCTGTGGAGAATGGTACTTTCTGTCCGAATGATGTCTTGGGTGATGATGTTGATTGTCTGAAGAGAGGAGTGCCTTTGGTTACTTTGGTGTTTCCAGTGGCAGAAGTCGAGCCATATCTGATGCATGGTGATTGCGACGAGGTTGATGCGCAGGATTGAGTGTTTGCAGTCGTATTGGGCGAGGATGGATGGAGACCATTSATGCATGTTGATGCTCAAGGTGGTAGCAGCGAATTGGAGTCCATCAGCGTTGCGATTGACAAGGACGGGGCAGTCAAAGAAGATGTGAGACGATGTGAGGATGTTACGGACGCCGCAGGCTGGGCATGCGGGTGGAGGTTTGATGAGTGGTAGGAGCTTGGCTGAATATCTGAATATGGTGTTGTGTGCACGTTTGTGCTTGACCATGTTGATAGCTGGGAATAGTTTGGTGTAGTCGATGTTGAATTGCAGTTGTATACCTAACTGGGAAGGAGTGATAGGGTATTGGAATGTTGTCACATCTCGAGGGAGAGATGACTTGAGGTTGTTGTAGAGGAGGAGGAGGTAGTAGTGTTTGAGAGTGATCTTTTTGGAGTTGGTTGTGAAGATTGGTTGGTTGTTGAGTGTGAAGAACTTGAGGAAGGAGAGGTCGTTGGAGTGGAGTTGGAGAGGGTTGGTGTTGAATATTGGTGTTGGCATTTGTGTGACGGACTTTGAGGCATTGACGGTGAGCCAGGCCTTGAAGGTGAGTTGTTGGATGGATGAGAGTTGGCCGTAGGCTTGTGGGTCTGTCCATGGGAGGTTGGTTGCTTGGTTGAAAGAGATCTGTTCCTGAAGGTTGTGAAGCCATGCAGGGCCATATGGGAGTGAGTTGTGAGAGTTGAGGAAGTGGTCGAAGATGTATGCTTTCTGGGCGGTGTCTCTGAGTCCAATGTCGGGAAGGCCGAGGCCTCCAAACTTCATTGGTAGAAGACGTCTGATTGGTTTCATCTTGGGTTGGAAGTAGTGATTGGGGGTGAAGTCTCTGTACGAGAAGATGAACCAGTTGATCATGTTGTTGAGCTTTCTGATGTCGTCTGAGTCTATAGGGTTGAGATATTGAAGGTAGGTGAGTTTGGAGAGGAGGTATGATTTGACGATGTTGGTGTTTGCTTTGATTGTTGATCCTCTCTGTTTCCAGAGAAGGAATGAGGAGGTGAGTTTGTCGATAGTGGCGTGAAGGTTGTTGGAGATGCCAGTGAGTGAGAATTGATAGCCGAGGTATGTTTCAAGTTGGTCTTGTTGGATCTTGTGGAAGTTGAGTGAAGGTGGGAGGATGCTG